TTTGTCCCATAGGGTCCAAGTATGTCCAAGTACCTCCTATTCGGATGGTCTTGGAGGTGAGTTCGTACTTCCTGAGAACGGTCTTGAGAGCCAAAGGACATCCCTCAGGATGGTTCTGGACCTTTAGGGGTGGAAAAACACGTGGTTTAGTATGGTTCGACCATGATTCACCTTCGACTTCGTTTGATGGTTACTGTGTTTGTGGCATTCGTTCCACAAATCCCCGCTGTGGCGTTCGACTGGGCCCATCACAGTTCACCTGATGTCAGGCGAGACCGCAATTCCACCCTTGGCTTTGGGCTTTGACCGCAGTGGTGTGAAACAAAACAGTCACACCGAATTGGTTCAGACTTACATTTTACAGGAAACCGGGTTTGGAGAAGTGAACACCGCGTTTATATATATATTTGGTTGATGTTCCCCTTTTTCCATGAATCAACCGTTCTCCTCGAAGTATGACCAATCCCGCATCCTCCCTGGCTTTCTCGCCTTTCAGCGCCCCAATCCCGCGCCATGTTGGACCCGTTGGATCCGGACGAAGCACGTCGACGTACCGACTCGCAAACACCGACTGTGTTGCGGATGTGAACGATGCAGCGATAGCTGGAGGTGACGTCTATGTATTTATAATACTCTTCGAATCTCTTCGATCTTTGTTTAATCTGAATCTGATTAATCAATTCGTCGACCGCCATGGCCACACACGGCACTTCAACGCTCCCAACGCAGCGGTCTCCTCCCGTCGCCTTGGGATGGCGCTTGCAGCGCTTCCCACAGAGCGCAAAGGCATCCTCAGAGGAGCATGGAGGAAGGAAGGAGAGTTGGAGGAAGGAAGGATAGAATTCATGGAAACTGTGGTGTGTTGAAATGTTTTGAACCTCCTCAAATTGTCGATACTGCAGTATATCTTCGTTGCATACCTTTCAATTTCGTGTCAACGATGTTTTGATGGACAAAGCTCCCCCTCTTTTATGTGCATCAGGCATAAATTACTACTCCTCTCCAATCAACAACCTCCAGAAACCTGGTCATACTAAACCTGCTCTTCCTGACTGGTTTCTGCAAAGCAAATGGGCTCCCCTTGACCAAGATGTTTCTTGGCAGCGCTTCAACTGGAAAAATCGATCCAAACCGTTCGGAGACGCTCCCAAGATCGGAGACCGAGACCGCGCCCTCCTCGCTGTCCTCGTCTCCGGAACAGCCAAGGCACGGGGTTGTAGGTGCACGTCTCACTCGCCACCTGGATCGATGTTGAAAAAGAACACGCTGAAAACGGAAGGCCTCCCGGTGTAGGAAGTGTCAGGGGGCAGAATTGCTCAGGCATGCCGGCATGTTTGGGGGCAGAGGAAACCTGCAACCTTTGAAGGACCGTAGTCAAATACTCTGATGCTTGGTCGCTTGGAACATTTCGCGGACAAAATCACTCATCCAAAGTCCTGTAGTTCTTTAACATCAAGCCCTGAAAAGCAGGAATTCGTAGAGAAGGCCAACATCTTTCACTGTATGTGAACCCTCTTGGTCCATGAGCCCTCCCAAAAAAATCTGCCGAAAGCCCAACAAAAAGAATGGTTAACACAAGCATACACATGCAAACATCATCCCTTGCAGTATTGAGAAAAAACCATCTGTGATCATCTGTGCACGTATTTCTTTCTAACCAATCGCGGTTTTGGGACTTCGACCGGTGGTGGAAGTTCGGCATCGACCATCTAGACTCCAAACATGCTCGGCTAGTCATTCATCCCTTTTGACGTCGACTGCCCCGGTGGACCGCGGCTAGCGACGGCCGTGTCTTTAGGGCTCGGCCGTGAAAATCCAAGACGCAGGTTTCGGTGAACACAACGTACCGTCGAGGAATGTTTTCCCTGAAGTTTCAATGGTCAATGGATCTCTTGACGAAACGTCACCATGGCTGGCGGGCGAAAACGTCACGAAAACGTCACGAGCTTCGCTACGACGGGCTTCACCGGACGTCCGGTGAGCTGAGTGTGCCACGAAGGCCACAAGGCTTAGCAAGCTTAGCCTCCACATTGGTGCAGGCAGCCACCCTCAGGTGTCAGGCGCATCGATCAGATCAGTCAGTGATTCTTCAAACTGCCCCTGAAAGAGGGAAGTGTCAGGGAAGTGTCAGGGCTTTATGATGCTTTGTGTATAGGGGATTCCAGGATTCGATGCTTTCATGCTCCGCAGGAGTGCTTCGACTTAGGACCGTCATGAATCGATTCAACAAAGAATGCTGTCCAGTGATGTATTGTGGAAGCGAGAACCTCTCCGTCGCGCCACCGAGAGAATTACAGCAAGAAGGCCACAGGATATCGCCAGCCAACCGGCAAGAAAAAATAAGACATCGTTCACGGGATCGCCGTGTGGGGTGTTGGTAGGGTCTTGTCTCCAACCATCGCATCGATCTATCAGTCCACCGTTCGATGCGTGCGTCCTTCGATCTTCCAGTCTTCGTGTTCTTCGAAGTCGCGTGTTTTTGGTGCTTTGACGCTCTCATCCTGGTGCCGGAAACTGTACCAAACATATATATATATATGGTTATAATATGTAGCATCTCTTGGACCTTATATAGCAGAACAGCCTGCATAATCCTGTTGGTGATTTGAGTGGGGTTGTTCGCTGTTGTTCGCTGCCATGGTGCAAGGCACTAGCTGTCATGGGGCAACCTGTGACCCTCAAGCCGTGCTGATGTGGGTGCCAGCAAACCGCATGACTGGCAGCATGAGTGCTAGGTGGGGCTTCTTGGTGGACTTCAAAGAACCTGTCTATAGAGGCTTTGAAGAGTCACCAACGAATGCACAACACGGTCACTTCTCAAGTTCCTGTGACCCGGAACTTGGGTGATTTGGCTGCTTCATCTTCCAACTCTCAGCTCGAATCTTCCATGGCACCGATGCTCTGAAACTCGAAACCTGTCAGATCCTGTCAGTATGGTCAAACACACTTGGACCATTGGGAGACCCACAGAAAAACATGTGCAGAGTCGTACTGAGACCATGATGCAATCGAAAAGACGTACTAAAACGAGGTCAAACAGCTCGAAGACACTGCGATCCATGACACATCAAGCGATCGGTCAGTGTCTGGTGGAACGTTTGCTTCCTCGAAGTTCACAGAACCCGGTCGAACCCGGTCGAACCCGATCTCCCAGCGAAGCAACCGGGACCTCCGACTTGGCGCAACCCGGCGCTACCCGACTCGCAACCCGGTGAGCCGAAGCAGCGACCAAACACGGTCCGGAGGTTTTGCGTGCGGGAGTGTTGGAAAGGGAGCCATGACAGGTTTAGAGACATATGAAGAATAATACATACAATACAATGTTATATATAGCTTGGAGTGGTGCCCCTATACTTTCTTTCACCCTGAAACAATTGGAGTGGCAGTGCCTGTTTTGCTTGAGTATGCACCCAATAGAGTACATCGCAAGAAGATCTGGAGTCTGCTCATGGTGGTGATCTATTCAGTGCATGTACTTTGTTCTGTGAAGTTACCTTTTGGAAATGAAGGTCAAGTTCAGATTCAGCAAACCCTTTTTAATTGAACCTACAATCAAACATCAAAAACCACTGAGGCTGCGGATGTGTCCTTTCCAAGAGTGTCCTTTTCATTGGTTGAGGCTTACTCAACAAACCATTTGGATGGGAGCTGAGCGAAACGAATTGAATTCGATGCACTTCCACCGTGTTGTGGACGAAGTAGGAAGGCGTTGGACGAATTGAAGTACCAGGAAGGCGTTGGACGCGTATGTACAGCACGGGCGATTCGACACGACACGACCGGTTTGCACTCGTCCACGTCGGTTTGCTCGGTTTGCACTCGGCCAAATCGGAACACCGAGCCGGACTGATCCGAGGTCTCCCTGGTGGCGCGACGCACCAAACCCAAGCGATGCAGGTCGGAGGTGACCACAGTACCAAACACTGGAAGAAAAACGTGTTGGAACACCGAGCCGCATGGTGCGAACACCCCGATTGTCTTACCCCGTTCGTCACTCGGCCAGTCCAACTCCCGAGAGGGTGCCATCTTCCCGGCTTCCACGACCGGCTCGGCTCGAAACATCGGATGTGTCCAAGGACGAAAGACGAGATAGGACGAGATAGGACGAAACATCGTCATGACTCATGACATAATCCGGATGACATCCTTGTATACATAATATGTTACAAATGTGACACTGTAAAATATGGTAATTATCTTATATAGGCATATGTATTTTATGTGCACTTGAAAACCAGAAAGGGCCGACAGGGACCACTACCGCCGCCGCCGCCACCGCCCGCGCTTCCCGGTCCGCTCGCGCTCGCCTGGGCCACGTCCCGTAGCTCGCCGAAGAGCGCTCGTTGCCCGCCGGCAGCTCCTGGCAGTTCGACTGAGAGTCCGATGAGTCGAGTGAGGTTTCGGACGACGAAAACAGGATGTCTTTCTTTTGGACGACGAAAACGCGAAAACGGAAACGGTTGGACACCAAGTCATCTTGCTTCGAACACAAAGGGTTCTTGTGATATATGCAGCTAGACGGGACTGTCCTCCACTAAGAAAAGAAAATGGTTGACACCAGGGGATGTACACCTAGATTCCACTACGTCACTATGGTGGGTGAATGCACAAACCTCCTGTTTGCTAGGCACTGACAGGAGAAAAAGGAGGCAAGGGAGGCAAAAGGACGCATTGAAGCAGCATGTTCACGCAACAAAAATAAACATATGTTGGCACAATCACTGGTGAGTGGCTCGCATGACGACCAAAATGGTTTTGGGATCGATATGGCAGATCTACATGTGATCTGTGACCCCCATGGAATCAGCAAATCACATCTGTCGGGATGTAATTGTATACCGTATTATGCTAGAACTTTCTCCAACCTGTCGGTATCTATATATAGAGGATCTGGGCCCCAGGCACCCAAAACATGTTCGTTCCAGGAGGAGGATGTATGAAAGCACCGGCACCGCGGCAGAGAGAGAGAGAGAGAGAGAGAGATTCAGCACGGCCCTTTTGATCCTTTGGTCACTCGCTAGTCGCGCTGTCATCCAGGTGAGTCTTTCGCTCGGTTTTGGTCCACTCAGGATTCACTTTGCCCTTCTTGTCCGGGTGCTTGATCCTCAGAATTCTGGAAGACTGAAGAGGTTCTAGGAAGAACGGAATCATTTGATGAAAAGAGCTGGAAGCGCTAAGCTTGAAAAAGCCTAACACAAAACCATGACAGCTCTCACAACAGCAGCTACTCTCCCCAAACAGCGGCTCCCTTCAAACAAACATGTCACCCAACTCACCCAAAGAACTTGGAACTAAAGGATCCAAAGGACTACACTCCCTGAAAGAAGCATGGTTATGTAGATGGCAAGGCCCCGAAAGGACGACAATGAAATCCGACTTGAGAGAGGAGGGGGTGAACGAAAGGTAGCAGGCAATCACAAGTAACCCTGGTAGAAGTCCATGACGGCGCGAACCGGCGCAGGGGGGATTTGATCCAGGGGGGGGGCCCCCCCCCCCCCGCGACGAACAGAACAGAATCAACTCTTACAGGACCAAACTCAATGCACAATCCCAACTCCTGATTGTAATACATTTTTGCTAAAGCAAGGAGAACTCAGGTAGCTCAAGCTACCTTTCGTGAATACCAAACAGGTGTTCCACTATTTTTGGATGATTTCGGGGAGTGTAGGAACCTCAAGTCATTCCGGTTGATGGTGAACATCGGTTTCCGTTGGTCTTCGTTCCACGCCTCAGGGTTTTCCTAAGTCCGATCCACTGACCACACAGCAAAAATTCCAAGGCAAGCTGTAGGTCTAGACTAAAGAAATTGCAGGTAGGAAATTGCAGGTGTGTTTTCAGTAGGAAATTGCAGGTTTCTTCTGAAACTTTAGTAGGAAATTGCAGGTTTGTTTTCTATGGGAGATCCTCGTCGCTCCCAAGATGGACATTCAGCGAATTCACCGCATACGTGTCGCACGGTTCTTCATGCAGCTGTGTCTCCCCACCCAATAATCCAACAGTTTGCATCTCAAAAATGAGCAATAATGAGCATAGAGGTCACCAAGATGTCAAATGTTCATCCACCACCATATTCCATCTTATACCTTTCGAGTATAGTATCTCTGAATGTGCCCGTCCACTAACCGCCCATGTCATCAAGCATAGGCTCAGATCTGCATAGGCCTCTTCTTGTCGATAAATGTGCTCCGCTACGGAACTGCGCCCCGTGCAGTCGCAGAAGTAGATGCCCTCGTAATGCTTCCTCGGCTCGTTGATCGCCTACATCTACAGAAGCGTTGCGAGAGATTGAAGCCGTCGAGGCGCATTTACACAACCTCACCAGCATCACTGAGATCACTCCTGTAGAATCTCTACCCGCACCCACCATCTATCACCACCCCTATCACCTTCAGCCACAACTTGGTCGTGCATCCTAGCTATATCTTGAGATATCTTGAGTCATCAGTGAAGGTGGTCAGAACATGCAACAACAAAGACTCTATCCGCTTGCCATCCCCTCAGTGACAACCACCAAATAATGGGCCACAAAGCACTCAGAAACCACCACCACCACCACCACCTGCAGCCCGTGGGTTTTTCTACCTTGCCAAGCAGCGCTGGGTTGCAGAAGCAGCCCTCATCACAGGGTTGAAGGCAGTTGGGTTTCTTCACCTTAGCCAGCAATGCACCACTGCAGGCCACTCGATGTGGTCGTTGAGCGACGGGTCTTGGGAAGGGTATATAAGATGTTGGACTATGCAGAGTTTTTTGGGGGTATCTTTCTTGATATCCTCAGCGTTTTGTTCATCACTGCAGCATGCATGGCTCACCTAAAGTCCAACCAGAAACCTTCATGGTTTTGTTCCTGCCACCTTCCAACCCTTGAAGCAGGACCGAATTCTTGAATTTGAGAAAACAAAAAAATCACACCTCGCATGGAACTCGCACTGTCCTGGTGTATGTCGTGGTGGAAATTCCTGGCCCATCTGGACACCTGGGACGGACCCCGCCCCCCCGCGGTCAACGTGAAGGAGACACCCCAGGAGTGACGAAGTGCCCGAAAACATCCGAGTGACAAAGTGCAAAATCACCCCTTTGTCAATCCTGGCACAGACACACACATCGTCGCAGCAAAAAGAACAAAGCCCCTGCCCTCCCGAAGGAATCCATGTGACATGTTCCTTTTCATGCGGTGGTTCATCGCCAACAGCCTGCATCATCGATCGCTGCACCTGACGGGCGCGACGAAACAGTGGTCCAATCGAGAAGTTAGTCTGATTCCGCCATGATCGTACTGAGATTTACCGTCGGTGCTTTTTCTAGCACTATCCCACCTTCAAGTCACAAGAACTCCGGGGTTCATGGTTGCATCGGCCCACTCATCAAACGCATCTTCTCTCGAAGGGACCAGCGCGTGCAACAAAACGCGCGGCTACATTGGAGATTGTTTCCCATATCCCAGGAACAAACTCATGATGCAAGTGATCCTCGACAGTAACTCATTGCATCTCTTGCATCATGAGCTCACCAAATATAACCAAAAACCAAATCCATCAACACACAGAAAGTCTTCCCCCCATCTCCGACGTTCGGTGAAAAACACGCGTAGTTCGACCATCCATGGGACTGGAAGAGTTATGCCATGGATGCAGTATTTTCATGGACTATCATAGACTAAATGTATTAAATCATCAAGAACTGCCATACATGGACTAAACGCACCAAAAAAACAAGAAACATCCAGACATGGATGGCGTGGATGGTTTGGGAATGGTGATTCCCAGCGCTTCCCCCGTCTCCGACCGTCCCACCGGCACCTCCACCAGCATGGCCGATGCGCGCTCACCGCGCGCGCGGACGCAGAGCGACCACCTCAGGCGGTGAAACCCGGCGCAGCGGCGGCGATCGTTTCATCCGGATGCTTCAGGAAGTTTGGAATGCCGATGGGCAAGTGCAAACTGGGCATGAAAAGATAGTTGAAAGAGTGGATCGAAACGGACATCTGACAATATCCGACAGAAGTGGCAATCAGTGCATCAGGTGTGTTCGACCCTGAATCGATCCGAGAGCGAGGTTCCAGCGACCCGAGCTTGCTCGCACAAAGCCGAGTAAACGAAGTCGATGGTTCCTCTGCCCTCTCTGCTTCTGGAAACCAACGTCAGTCTTAGACAAACCCATTTGGAGCTGTTCCGCGGACATTCCACACCAGGACATGTTGTCTCCTTGCAGTGTTTTGGTATATGATTCTGGGTATATCTGGGTGGATATCCCTTAGCTTTAATAGTGTTTACTTGGGGCGGTGCTTCTGGTTGCTTCTTGCCCAACTCCATAAGACCAACATGTTCATCAATGTTCTTCTCGATTGATGCAAGCAAAGGTCGGACATTGAGCAATCATTCCCTTCAAAGTGGGATGACATTGACCTGTTCTCGTCACCAACATCCAATCAAACCAAAAAAAACTAAGCAGAAAAACATGAAATGCAACAGAAAGCATTGTTATGTTTGTTTTCTCTTTCGCCGCCCACCTTCGCTTCCGGGCTCACATGGGCTCACAGCCGGCAAACATGCCAGCTCACGGGGCATCGCCCGTCGTCGCGTCGGGCTCCGCGCGTTTGAGGGCGGTCGTCGATTGGTCCCAGCAGCCAGAAGATCGCGAGGAGTTTGAGGGCAGACCTGGTTGGCCCACACGGCAAGAGTTACGGCAGTATGCAGATATGCACAAGCTCAAATTCGACAAGAAAAGCCATCACTTAACTCTGGTAATAAAACAAGAGAAAACAAAGAATTACAGAGTATATAGGTATCAAAAAATAGTAAGAAATAGAAAAACTATGAAAAACATATGGCACCTTAGAGAGTCTAGCAAAATAGGTCGAACGTAATGCCAAATCTTTTTACGCTGTGTTTTCTTGGGCAAATGTTCCAAGGTCGTGGTCCCAGACAGATTCAACAGCGCCATCTTATGAAAAAGGCTCCTTTTTGCATCAACTTATTTTGGAATCGGTCCTTGTTGCGATGCAAAAGATATGCGCAGCTGCAAGAGGACTCATGGAGGCAAAAGAACCCTTGAACTGAAAAGTTGGACTTGTTCGTGTGGACAAGTTGAAGGAGTTGGAACTTGTTCATGAGATGAGGGTGGAACTGCCCATGTGAAGAAACGGTCCCCCGCCCTCCGCAAGGCCAAAGAAAAACACTGCAGGCGACTCTCCCCAAACTAAACTCACGCCAAGCCCTACCCAAACTCCTGTTGTTCCAATACAAACCCAGCAGCCGGTCTCGCCAAGGCATAATACAAGAATCTCACCCTGAGCTGATGCCAGGCAGTTGAGTACAGAAAAGCAAGGCACCTTCAATATGACCCTGGTCGTGTTCCGTGTCTCCTTCCAGTTCATCAACCGTACGATCTCAGAAAATCATTGGCCTTTGTTTTGGCCACACTTCCCAAACGCAAAGAAGGCTTCTATCACCAACCGGGCAGTTGGTCATCTTCAGGAAGAGGACGAAGATTGAAGAAATGCAAAGAATTAGAATGGTCTGAAAGAACTGGGATTCTCTTAAATCACCTTTGGCCTCCACATGATGGATCGAACAAGCTTGGCTAGGAGCATGGCTGGAATGGCTAGAATTCATGGTCACCGCTTCCAGCCTGTCCATTGTCCATGTGGGGGTTGTCTCAAAATGAAGGATTCCCCCCAAAAATCGCATCTGAAAGTCCAATGAACTGTTCCAAACAGAGGGAGGGCCACCGGACAAAACCCTTGGCATGACCAGCCTTCCGTGAACGGAAGGGAGCGCCGACACGCCGCGGTGCTTCACCGGACCCAGTCGTTCGGCTGATCCGTCGAACGATGAGTTGGAAGCGGGTCCAGAGCCATGGACCGGTGGAAAAGGTTGATCACTTCACCTGTTGGAACGGATCCCCCACTCAAATCATTCAGATAGCTGGAGGGTTTGGGATGAATTCTCATGTTGCCTGGCATGTCAACACATGTGCTTTTTCAAGGGAGGCCTTGATGATCGTTGAGGAAGGCCCTTGAAGTCGATTTTCATGCGGGGTACGCTGAGGATAGACCATGTTGGTCCCCATCTAACATTATTCCTGGATAACATCGACCACCCCAAGCAGGGGGTCTGGAACCTAGGTTTTTAAAATAGTTATTCTAAATACATATTCCTCGAGGTGACCCCACATCTGGAATAATAAATGAAGGTACCCCGCATCGATTTTCCCTGTTGTCAAATAGATCGGTCTCTTTGACAAAAAGTTGCTGAGCACAATGAAGGCTCTCTATATTGGCTATTGAATTGTATGCGATATTATTGACTAATGACTCATGTGTCCAACCAACTTCGTACGACCAGACTTCCGCCCGCAGCTCTTGCGTCCCAGTGGCGTTTTGGCGGAAAAAAGGCGTGGCGTCGTTCAAAGCAGATGGCACATCTGCTGAAGGCCTGCTGTGGCACCGACCTGCGAAGAGCTGCGCAGGAAGAGCTGCGCAGGGTCGAAGCATGCAAGGCGAACCCACCCACCCTCCCATCACACACCACAGACATACATACCTCGAAAACAAAATCAATTAATACTATATACTATATAATATATATAATATAGTGTGTTCATCAGTATGTTCGGATGTATGTTCGGTTCGACCATCTTCGTCTCGCTTCCTTCGAAAGAAGTCCCTGGAAGGTTTTCTGGTTCCCCCCCCACCTCCCAGACGACAAGGCACCGAAGTCGGACACCGAAGTCGGACGATGCTAGGCTTGGTCCCGGCGAACTGGTGGAGATAAAGATCTCCCGGCTGGGTCGGGGTGGCCAACACCAGAGTGCAAAAACCCACAAGGGAATGAGCAATGGGTCGACCATCAACTGCAGGGCCATCCTCTGACAAGCACTCGGTCCAAAAAAGAGAACCCAACTTGGTTTAGAAACGTCGCGGAAAAAAAGAGCAGAATCTTCAACTTGTGCGGAGATACAATATGGAGAAAATTTAAGGTCCCACACAGATGGAAACTACATGTTCGATGCGAAATGAAATCTTCCACAAACATATAATGTTGCCATATATTGCCCATTGTACGTATGTGTTTCAAAATTATCTTGTTGCTGTCTAAGCTTGGGGCACCACACAATCCATGAGGATCCAAAATGGAAAGATCCAAAGTCTTTGATCCGCAATCTCTCTGGCTCACGAGTCTGACATCTTCCTCAACAACACCATGGATCGTAAGACGTCTAAGACCAAATGGCCTACACAGGGCTTAACCAATTGAACAGGTGTGCTATCCAAACTTGGCGTGTTGAATTTGGTCAACCAAGCGAAAACCTTACAGAACCGCCTACAGAAGAATGACACGTTCTTGGGTTCTCCATGGTTCTCCCAAATTGACTTTAATGCATTTCGTTCGCATTTGCTTGGGGTGTTCTCGCCTTTCCTTTTACTTATATTTTTGGGACCAACAATGCTGTGGTTTGGCAACAGACGTTGGTAAGGATGAAAGAGCGGAGACCAGAGATGAAGCATGATCACTACTTCAAAGGGTCCCTGGTAACCGTAGTGATCCTCTGTCGGATTGTGACTTGGGAAACCCCAAGAAAAATCCCCAAGTCATTCCCCGGTGTCGTCCATCTGTGTCAGCCCCCGCACCTGGAAGCAGCGTTCCGGAGCGGTTTCACTCACGAAAGCAGCGTTCCGGAGGCTCTGTGAGCCGAATAGCCGGCCGGTAGAGAATGTAGAGTCCAGCAGTTCTAAATGTGTTTTGGTCCATAATAAGTGAGTGCATGGATAGTGGGCAACCCTATCCTCCAAGTTCGGCACCCCGTTGGAACTTCTGGGTTGTAAACGCTTCTACTCTCTGTGGGACTGGAAGATGTATAACATAATAATATATAACATGCATTCGGGTGGGTGGTTGAAAAGCGGTGCATGTTGATCCTGAAGACTCTGGATGATATGTCCATCCCCGGTTTTTCAAGTAAGACCGATATAGGCCAGATGAACGAAGCTGCAGGCGAAACATGCGACACAAACGTGAGCCAGCTGAGGCTCACTTTTTGGTACACAGGGTGAAGAATCCAAGATGGGAAGGCTCAAAAATGGGGGAAGAATCCAAACCCCGCTCTGGCGCGATACGGGAGCTGCTAGCTGCTAGAGAGGTTCAACCTGAATCTTGTCCTCCCCTGATTGTTTTGGCGATGTCCAATGCATCACCATTTATTCCAAGGACTTGGCTGGATGAGGCAGCCGGTTCCGAACCCAGATCGGAACCCGACCGATCTACCCTACGTCACGCGTTTCGCCTACCAAGTGGACAAGCCGCGTCAAGGGTTGCTGCAGCTCGCCCTGCCACGCCGTGACGCCACGCGCGAGGCCACGCCGTGAGACCACTCCTTCCCCCACCAAACGGGGGGTTCTTTGAGCGAATTCAATGATGGGCATGAAGGTGCGGCGATATTTTTGGGGGGTGTCGCGCTACTTGTCCCCTCTGTAAAAATGTTATTGCATGTTTGAATTGCTCCAACATTTTGCCCCTGAAGCTAGGACGGCTTGGTGCCCCCCAAAACTCATTGGAGCAGTGAGTGGTCCCTTTCTTTTACTTCAACCATTCTTACTGGTGTTTGCTTGAGCTGCTGCAACGCGCGGCGTCGAACGACCGCGGCGTGTTCACGTCGCCTACCAGGTGCGAAAAAAGGGCCGTCGAATCGGTCGCTGCGCAAGAAACCGCTCAGTCCCACAAATGGACGTCCTGCTTCCAGGTCGTCCAAATGGGTCCGACATGGTCACTGAGTGGGCCTTCTTCATCCTTTTTCCCTTCTTCTCCACCAAGATACTCACTGCGGATGATTCTGGTGCAGCAGAGTCCTTTCCGATGCATTTTTGGTCATATTCTTTTCGAGTCCACCCCGACATTCCCAAGAGAATGATCAAGAAACAATCTTGCAGAAACACCAAGACCACTTGTTGAATACTTGATGTGGGCGCCAAATGTCCATAGAAACCCGAAACCCAAAACCACCACAAGCGATCACAATCCCTTTCCTGTCGATGAACCAAGCAAGAAAGCTCCGACCTTCCAGACCTTCCAGACCAAGCTTTTGGCACAACAGTCGCGTGACGCGAAGGTCGCGTGACGCGAAGGTCGCGTATTGGGCTTGGCGCGTGTTGGTCGCCTCAAAAGGCACCAAAGCTAAGAGTTTGTCGGGGCCCACCTGGCGAGAACGAGGCACACAGTCAGGAATGCTCGCTGTTTCGGTGCGCCCTGGGTCGGGCGCCCTGGGTCTTTTGAGTGATTTTGAGTGCTTTAAATTGGGTTAGGGCCGCTTGCGTTGTGTCTCAGGTATATGATATGTTTCAAGGAGTTTCATCTTCGGTTTGCCGAATCTTGACACTGGGGTGCCAAGTCAGGTCGGGCTGAGAACATTCGGTGCTAGTAGCTTAGCATTCCCTGCTGCAAAATTCAACATGAAACTGGACCGCGTCAAGACCATACACTACGCATGGCCAAACTGAACCTTCTTGAAACCTTCCCCAAGAAATCAACCGTGTGTTTTGGTCGAACGCTAGGTCGAACGACCAAGAACTGTACCGGCGAACACAACGGTCTGAGTCTCGTCATCTGAGGCATCCCGGCAGGGCCACCCATAAAGCATTGAAACACATGGTCCGGCCTCGGCAGTGGGTCCAGTGGATTGAAACCCGTTTTGGACAGTTCTTCGGTCAAAAGGGTGGGAAAGTGAGATAGATCATAGGCAGTGAGTTGGCAGGATCCACCATGGGGCTATATTATACAATGAGGTATAGTGGATTGAGAGTAGATGGCACCCCAAGAGGTGCTTTACATAGACCCCCCATCTAAAGGACATCATGGGTCTGTGCCATCTACTCTGAAACCACTGTAGTTGTTGTTGATCAAATAGCGAACACCTGCGTCGCGGTGACTCCGGCGTTTCGCACCGAGACCGCTGAATTTCAGCGCCGGATCCGATCCGGTTGATCCGCGGTCATCCACGTCTCGAGGTTCGCCAGATCGATCCCGCAAGAACCCATCAAATGAGATCCCATTCATGGAACGTACTAGGATCGAACTTCGCACAGATTTCTGACCCTTGCAACATGTGTTGATCACACCCTGCAAGCCTATCACGCCTATCATCCTTTTCTAACTTGGAACGACAACATTGTCTGATGCTCACTATTCACCACGGAAGTGTCATGGCTACCTTATCAACTCCGTCTTTTGAGCTACTTTGAGATCTGCAAAAACCGGAAGCTGACGTTGCCATCTACAAAGCTGAATCTAATGTGTTGTATAGCATGTTGATTACAAGCATCAATGTAGTTGGGCGCTCCAGAAATATATGTCCGACCAGGTTTTGGAACACACAAGTTCTGAACGACTCCCAATATCTGGTGAGGCTTTTTCTTCGACTCCCCGAGGCCCCCGGGCATCTGGACCTGCCGGTGCGGCCGTGTGCTGTCCGCATCCGCATCCGCTTCGAGCCCATCCCGCGTCCGGGGCGGAGGAAGACCCCTGAGGAACCCCACAAAATGGACAGTTAAGGCAATAGACCATATAAACTTGCGTGTACTTCATCGTACTCCCCTCTCGCTCATTGCTAGTATGGGGAACTGGGAGGATCTTGGGACTCCAAGGTGGGGTTGTAATCGCCGATAGGTTTCTACAAACAATGACCCTTCGGAAAAGCTGGTAAACGCCCGCGATTGGGTGGTTCCTTTGGTGGTTGCTAAATGAGCATGTTGTACTTGAGCTAATGTGTTTGTTTTGCTTGCTGACGAGGACTGGGCTTATAGTTTTATAGTAGCTTGACTGGTCCAGGAAACTCCTAGTGACTGTGTTTTAAAACAAAATTCATCAAAATACGATATACATCCATACAATATATACGGCCTTCAAAAACCTAGCTACAAAAAACGGGAGAACTTTTTCCATCAACAAGTGTGCTGTTCATGACTCATCCACCTGTTTTTCCATCCAACATATCTCCCAATCCGAATCATCCCTGTCATGGCTCAATGTACCAGTAGAAACCCATCCAGCTCGATGCACCGATTGAAAGAGCTCCACACCTGGAGGGGCTCCAAATCAGAGCGCCTCACGTCAGCACGTGCACCTGCGTTGCCGGTGGGTTGCCGACGACAAGGCCGGAAGACGTGGATGGCAACGACCTATGACCTAGAAGGACATCAGAACAGGTCGTTGCCACCAAAAATGCATGGCACGGTGTTTTTGGTTTTCGTAATCCAACAAATTGGAGCGATGACCTGTGGATTGCTCCGTGGAAGACATCAGAACACCAGAAACACCTGATTTGTGTGTCGCTGCTGGTCTCGCACCAACCAATTCTCCAACAAAAAGGACAAACGCCCTGGAAGCGACCGGAACCTGAGAACCAAAACGAGGAAAATCCTCCAGTCCAGCCTCGAGACCCGGATGTCATCCGAAAACGACCTCTTCTTCGACCTCTTCGCGCCTGCGAGGTTCACGCCGACCAAGGCATCGCTGCCGTCCGTGCCCTGAGAGCCGGGCGGTAGGTGAGTTGGGGCAGAGATGGGAGGAATTGGAAGAATATATTATATATAATATATATACCCTATAGGGCTCCAAGTACCTCCTCAGAACGCTCAGAAGGTATTTGGACCCTTGAAACCCACCCCAAATATATATAGATATATAGATATATATAGATATATCTTTTATATATATATATATATACACCCAAGAGGGGGATGCCTTCTCTGTTCCTAAAGGTGTGGTTTAACTTCATGTTCCTCTTCAGCTTAGCGTCTCCCAGAGTCCACGGTGGGTACCAAGCCTTATGTCCCAAGCCCCCAACTTGAATATAGGGTATGTTGTCACGATGATATATCCCATGACCAGGACCCAGTAGATGATGATGGTATAAGATGGTTTAAGTACAAACCTTTCCCTCCAATTTCTCGTGATCATCCTTCACCGACTCCGTATACCTCGGTGCAACACACCTTGTGTGGGAGTCGAGTGCATGGAAAAAAACCACTCGAAACCCTTCGACTCGTTGTGCCCTCGACCAGTCGGGACAGAGCTCAGAGCTCACGGCGCGGGCGTGGCTGGTGGTCGCCGTGGTCGCCGCCGCGCGAGTCGGGTGACGACGGGTGGGGAGTCGAGTCGGTGTCAACCCTGGCATGTCCAGGTGACGACGGGTGGGGGGTTGATGTGGGGTAGACGTTGGCCAGGTGACGTCGTAACAAACTGGGGGAGGACGCTCAAAATGAGAGGAAATGCATGGACATGTCCTGTCTTCAAAGGGCGTGACTGTTGGCGGGTGTCTATAGATGTGGATCTGAACAACTTGGCCTGAACGACCACAAGCCCCACGAACTCGTACCGGTGACGTCTTGATCCGCCACCTTCCGACTATCCGTCAGTCACTCTGCCTGATGTGTCCACTTGGCGGCCAGGAGATAAATACCTCACAGGCTGATGCTGGTGAACCACCGTCCACCCCACAACTCTCGCAGCGCTGTGGGATGCTGAGACAGGCTAACCACTCCACAGTAATGACCACGTGGGAATTGCAACGAAAAAGACCCACTTTTTCGCGACTATAGCTAACACATGCTAACACTCCCTGAAATCGAAGTGGGCAAAAGACCTGGTGCCGGTGCCATGGTTTTCTTCAAACAGGTGGTCCGATCTCGGCGGTGCCATGTTCACCCCGAAGGGGCCGGGGTCCTACGGGTCAAGAACAGATGGTCGAAGTGAGTATAAGCGCGTAAAGGAGATAAATGAAAGATCAACCAGATTCGTAGCTGAAGGTCAACCTTTCTTGTGATCTTTGGGTCCAAGCAATG